ACAAGAGACAGAAAGGGAGACCAGAAAACTAGGAGACACCAGGAGTGAAATCTTGGCATCAGAGAGATGAGGGCAGTGAACACACCTGGGGGTGGAATGGCAAAGGAGCAAGAGGAAGGCACTATGTATATGGTACAGACTGGACTTCTATAAACCAGACTTACCTTGTCCAGCAGCATCTGTGGGTGCGCCGAGGCAGGAGCATTCATGGGGGGAAAGCCAGAGGCCCTGCACTCAGTAACTCCTCCCCACCCTCCCAGAGCTTTTGGTGTGCAGCAAAGAACTCATTTGCAGCATTCAAGCTTGGAGTAAGAGCCAAGGTGGCTATGAAGCCTGGCAGTGTAGCCCTGTGGCTTACAGTGGGGGTCTGGGAATACAGCTCTGCTGCTGGCCTGGGGATTATGCAGCCACCCTGCCTCTTCCCCTGAGCACCCCGTGCCCCTGTTCTGTCATTGTTGACAACTCTGCTACCATCGGGGCAGAGCCTTACAGCCAGCAGCAGCAGAGGGGCAAGTGTTGACCTCTCCTGGTCTGGCAAATTCTCTGGTTCAGGACAAGTCCAGTCCTAAAAGTGTAGGACCAGGGAGGTTCAACCTATATCACTTTTTGTTTTTTTTTGAAACATTTGCTAAGATCCTTATCAGAGGAAGAGTAGACGGGATAATGTTTTTCAGAGAGAAAAGAGAAGCTGATGGGGGATTGAAGCAGGGAGTCAGTCTGGAAAGAGTTCAGTAAGGAAGAAATTGAGAAAAGAAAGAATGAATGAACCTAATGGAAGAAGCTGACAAGATGGTTGGAATTGTTGAGTGATCAATCACCATGAGATATCCTAAGCAGAAAACTCATTGTGTGCTTGGGGGCGGTGGGAGGGGACAGAAGAACTGAGTATATGACCTGAAAGCAGAATTCACCTGACAAACATCATGTGAGCTAGACACCTTCAATATCCTTGTGCTTGTATCTAAAACACAACAAAAATTTAATCCAGACCTTTTTTCTTTACATATAAGATTTAATCTTTTCTTTGCTATGAGATACTGTTTCTGGTTTTCATTTTGATCAATGGTTTTTAATATTTCAGGTTCGTGGGAGTAAAGGAGAGGTCCTTTATGTTCTGGATGCCAGCAATCCACGATATTCTAACTGGCTGCGTTTTGTCCATGAGGCCCCATCGCAGAACCAAAAGAACTTGGCTGCCATCCAGGTAAATCTGCTGATTTCTTACCATTCACTTAGTGTTCTTAATCTGCTTGTTTACTCTTCATAACTTGCAATAAAATGTGCAGATGATAAGCAGCACAGCAACTTCCCTGTCTCCCTTTTTAGAAGTGAATGCTTGTCCTCAAAGGTGTACCATAAATAAATATCTCAAACACTAACAAGCCTGAGTATCGAGGGCATTTTAAAACTTCTTTGAAAGGTTTTAATACCATTCTGAAATTTGCTGTGTAGAATTTGTAGCCACTTAAAATCCATTTCTAACACTCAATACAGCTACAGTTAGATTTTCTCTTTACAGCCCTGATTCAGGTAGGTAGGTAAGCCTCTGTTTAATTCAGTGGTACTACTCTTATGCTGGAAGATAAATGTGGGACTATATATTTAGTTGAATCAGGGCTCATTATTTAGGGGTTTATCCTCACACGAAACTCCTACTAAAATCTTTAGGCGTATGCAGAGAAAGCAGAACATAAAAGTAATTTTAAAGCAATTAGCTAAAGATATATAGAAAAATAAAAGATGCTCTAAATATTCCAGTGGAAGCTTTAAGAGAACTTAATGTATTTGCTGGGCATCAGATGGTAGTTACTGTTGGTCATTGCAAAAGATCTATCTATATAATATATATATTTTTAATCCTTCTTCATTACAGAAGTTGGCTAGAGACCTCCTCCTATCAGGTAGTTAAGATGAGGCTTTGTGAAACATTGAGGGGTGCAGAGAGGGAGGTGCTGCCTAAATATGTCATGTAATCGTCGAGTTGTGTTCTGTGCCCCCATGGATTAACTTGGCTTGAGTGGGGCTTAGTGTGAGCCCAGCAGTCAGCCTGCATGCTGTATGTTGCAGAACTGAGCAAAAAGTCACAAGGCGCCGATTGCTTAATACAAGGATGCTGAGAGAATTGAGGAATAAAGTGACCGAGTTCCTTAAAAACGATGTAATCTCATTAAAATCAGCTACTGTTATTACAGTCAGGTAGGTGAAGAGGTAGCATAATGGCAACTGAGAGGTTGAGTGGGCGGCTCACTCCTGGGGCAGCTGTAGTACCCTGGTGGCTCCATCCCCGGAGGGACCCATGGCAGTGCCACATGGAATGGACTGTGGCTCCTTGGACTCCCTCCCCACTGCCCAGCACCTCTTGGTGCCACAAGCTGCAGAGGATTTAAAATATTTGGGGCTGCAGCCAGCTGAGTGTCTGGGTCAGGGCTGGGGGACAGCAGGGACAGCACTCTGGGAATCCCCCGTAGTCAGGGAAGGGAGGATGGAGAAAGCAGCCAGCTGCTGCCGGGATAAGGCAAGGCTGGGTGGGGCTGCTAGCCCTTGCCCTTTCCCAAACCATTGAGATTCCCTGCCCACACTCACCGTAGTTTCCCTGCCTTGACTTGGACACTCAGCCAGCTGTAACCCCTCACTCTGCCTTGTTGCCCCTTTTGTCACCAGAGAAGCATGCACTACAGTTTGAAAATGAATGTGTTAGCAGGAATAGTTGCAGTGGCTCGTACCTTTTGCTGGATTCTAAATATAGGCACTCCCTACATTACAAGCATCCAGTTTATGAACATCCTCACATACAGCCTCAGGAGAGCTGGCAAGAGGCACAGATGGTGGGAGCAGCGCAAGTGCTGGCTGGATGACTGAAGAGGAGCGGGGGGGAGTCGTGCAGCCAGCAGCTGGAAAGAAGAGCAACACTTCGAAGGAAAAACGGCCGCTTCTCTCTAGCTGCTGGCTGCATGGCTGCCCCCCTGCTCCTCCTGAGTCCTCCAGCCCACACTTGCACTACTTGCTGCTTCCTGGTGAGTGTGGGGGGAGGGGAGGAGAGCTGCTGGGGAATGGGGATGACCACAATGCAGAGCCCATGGTGGCAGTGGCTAGAGGATACCCAGTCATCCCCTTCAGAATTTTCACCTGCCTCCTCAGTCTCCTCTAATTAAACCTGTCTTTCCTCAACCACCATTGTTCAAGGTTAAATACAAAAACCATGGCTACTATTTATCATTGCAAATACACAGTATTTCAGCTACATTATGAGTTAAATAGGTTTTTTGTGGGCTAGCCTGGGAAACTAACAACCATGTATAACATTGTTTCTATGGGAAAATCCATTCCAAGTGCCAAACTATTGACTTACAAACTGGTTGTTTTTCAAAAGGTTGTAAGCTGGGGATTTCCTGTAAACTTAAGCCTTTCAGGAAAATAACCACAGGTCTCCCCGAGCAGAGATTTTAGTTGTTGGCTGCCATGTACAACAATGATTAAGTTATCTGACCGACCAACCAACCAAAAAATCCTAAGAAAATGTTAGAATGTATAAATAACTGAATAGAAATTATGCCATTGAAAAATAGCATACCCTCACCTTGAGTATGTGGTTTCTTCTTGGGCACTCGGTACTAAAAGAAGGCAAAAATAAAAAGATGGGCGACAAGAATGATTAGTGGCATGGAAAAACCCCCATGTAAAAAGACTGGTAGTGCTTAATTTAATGAAGTGACAAAGTAAACATCATAGAAGATATGAACTAATACGAAATAATGAAAGGTAATTTGGGCAGTCTCATTTCTAAATTGCTGTACAGTATAGGTCATTGGGTATCATCAGTAATGATATACTAAAAATCCCAGATGTTTTACTGATTTGTTGTAATGTAAGGTCCCACTACTGCATTTCATATATTTGCTTAACTTTATACACTGTGAGTGGTCAGAGGGGGTACTCGCAGTGCATGAAGTTTAAGTACAAAGTCTTTTCAGCATTGGAACTTTCTGTAATATATAGGTGACAGATGCCAAAGCTCTGACATGCATTGTCATACACAAATACTGACCCATACATCTTTACTGATATGCAAATGTTGAGCCAATTTCTGTAGTTACTTTAGGCACAGGATCAATGGCAGTTCTGTTTGTGGAATGGCTCCAGTAATGGAACCCTTATTTATTATTAAAACTAAATACAATCTTTCCCTGTATAGCCTCTGTGACAGACTGACCATTTCCTGCAATATCCTGAATGGACTTTATTGAATTAAGTTAAACCTTATTGAATTAGTCTTTGGAGTTCATTGCACTAAAAATGCAATTGTGTATGTGTTTTTGTGCAGTTGTATGTATTTCCACAGAAAGGGTAAATAGGAGAACAGCAGGGGGTCACTAAGCAAATTCACTCGTTACCTCTCCAGAGAAGCCACCCCCTTGAAAAGTATGCATCTACTAGTTCAAACTGGATTCTCCAGGGACCCACGGAAAAAGACAGCTTTTGGTTAAGTAGCCTGATTTAAAAAACAAACAAAAAACAACTCACGCAGGGCTTTCTTCCTGATCCAGTAAATGGATGGGGCCCTGGTCCATTCAGATCCTTAGCCCTTACAGTACCGTTGGAAGGACTAGCCTGCCAGAGTTCACGTTAGGGTTAAAGATAATTTTGGTAAGCATAGTCATGTGTGTTGGTTCTTTTATTGTTTTTGATAATATGCTGTCTCTGCGTTTAACCTTAGGAAATAAAAAGGCTTACATAGGAAGTCTGTGTGGTATTTGTAACAGCTGTAATTGTTCTCCATTTCTAAAGAGAAAGCAAGCAGGTGTCCTGTTGAGAAGGCAGGGAACTGTGCATCCTGGAAGTACCCCCCTCAAAAGAGGGAGAGATGTGGGTCACTCTCAGAAAGGCACTGGCCAGGGAATTGGAAACTTGAGATTGAGTGCCCCGATGAACTGCTGAGGGGAAATACAGATGCAATTACCCTAAACTGGGACAGCCTTCATAAAGATAATGCAATGATACTCTCTTAGACCATGTTTTGCAGTCGTTGCAAATGCGACACTACTTAATTTACATCAGCAAAGTGATTTCAGCTTTGATATCCTGAACTCCAGTTGCTTAGCTGCTGCTACTCCTGCTACTAATTCAGTTACATTGCTGAAAAAGCACTGAAACAATTAAAACATGAAAATCATTCATAATACAGATTATCTCTATCAAACACAAGAGAATCCTTATCTTAATAGTTCAATTGAGTAAAGTGGAATATGTCAGCGTAATTACATAGAGTAGAGGACTAATTTTCTAATTAACAAGAGAAAATGGAATATTTAAATTCAGATGGGGTTCCAGACCTCTTGTTCTAACTGGCACATTGTAATTACTCTCATGAAACACAGAAATTCTCATAATGTTAACCTCAAGACATTTTTATTGTACAAAAGGAGGAGTTTATTGGGTTTGTAAAGCTACTACTGGATTTTAATTTTGCCTTTCTAACCCATTGTTCAGTTTTCCAATTGTACTTGGTAAATGCTCTAATGATGATTTTCATGATCTCAAACCATAGATTTGGAAATAAAGATTTGTGACAGGTACTTATGATGAACTATAAAATATGAGAATATTAGTAATTAGAGAGCAAAGATGTCTTGGGATAGAATGCTTTTTTGGTATCATGACTGTTACAAGGTTATCCTAGCATTGACTACAAAAGTTACTTTACAGTACAGGTTGATCTGGCAGCCTCAGGACCTGACTGGTGCCAAACCAGAGAATTTGCTGAACCATGGGAAGTCAATATTGTCTGGCAGCATCACCAACACTTCCATTGCTTTCTGGGCTCTTTAGAAGACATTTGGGGTAAATTTACCCCTAAATGACAGCACAGAACACCAAGAGCAAGGACTGGTGTTAGTAAACAAAGTTTATATGACTCTGAAAAACTTGGCCACATCCATGATAGAGGGACATCTGGTTTAAAAAGAACCCTACAGGCTGAACCTCTGTAGTCCGGCACTCTCTGGTCTGGCAACATCCATGGGTCTGGCATGATTATAGTTAAAGTCCATTTTGTGTTCCCCACAAGAATTAATAGAAACCCAAACAGATGTTAAATTCCATCTCTTTTCACTGGCAAAGCTTGTCTTTTCAATTTTCGGAGAATCTAGGTGGAACTTACTGATCCAGCCTGTGGTAAAACCACAGAACCAGATTCTGCCCCCCATA